GAGAGACCCCATCTCAGCCAACAAACTGAGTATAGTGGTTCATATCTGTGGTCCCAGCTACAAAAGAGGCAGAGGTAGGAGGATAGAGTTTTGAGACCAGCCCAGGCAAAGTTAGCACAAGAACCTATCTGAAAAACAAACTAAAAGCAAAAGGATTGGTAGAGGACTCAATCCCATTCCAAAAAAAAAGCCCACCCTGGTGGTGCACATCCATAATCTCCAGAGGCTGACACTGGAGGATCAAAAATTTGAAGCCAACCTAGATAACTTAGTGGAACTATGTCAAAACAAAACAAAACAAAAAAACCCTTAAGGACAGAGCTTGGAGAACTTCCCGGCAGCTGACCGTGTAGACTGCAGTAGGGCAGGGCGCCTCCCCATGTGCATCTTGTCACCTGAACCCTTTGTACAATCAATCCAGTAAATGTAAGGAAAGTATTTCCTGAATTCTGTGAGCTGCTTGAGTGTATTAACTGGACCTGAGAAGGAGGTCTCGGGAACCTTATCGATAACCCGTTGGTTGGAACTAGGGCTTAGAATTGGCATCTAAAGAGGGGACGGTCCTGTGGCACTGAGTGTGTTCACGATCTGATGCTGTCTCTAGATAGGGAGTGTCATCAGAGCTCAACTGAACTGGAGGACACTCCGCTGGTGTCCACTGCAGGATGTGGAGAGCTGGCTGATTACCTAGAGTGTGGGGAAACACCACCACACATCTGGCACAATAGGAGAAACTGAGTTCATTAGTCCTATATTCCCAGAGCACAGGACAGGCCGGAGCAGAGTGGAGCAGCCTGCTGGGGACAATAGGAACAGGAGGCCACAACTTCTCTCCCAACCTCATTCCAGCTCTATGATCCTGGTCACACTTTCTTGAGTTATGCAGAGCAGCCAGGCCTGGCCTCTCCAGGATCAGCTGTCCCTTGGATCCTCCAGCAGTGTGAGAGCGAGGCTGACACTGGCCAGAGCATGACAGGGCAGATGTCTGCCACCTCTTCAAGCCACCAACTCAAGAGCTTGGATCTGGAACCCCAGCTGCCTGCATTCCAGCTCTGCCAATATTAGCTGTGTGAACTTCTGTAAATTACTTAACCTCTCTGTTTCCACACTGTAAATGGAGATAATAATTGGAGCTACATCAGTAGTAATACAGTAATTTATGACACGTGTTTAGAGGAGGGTCTGGTCCCCAGTAATGGCTGCGAAAATGCCAACAAGGTTTTGTTTTGTGTTTGTTTGTTTGGTGCGGGGGATGGAACTCAAGACTTCACACAGGCTAAGCAAGTATCCTAACACTGACCCACACCCCCAAGCCCAACAGTGATTTTCGTCATGTTAGTATTACCACTGAACCACCTGCTCGTGTCTGAGATTGTATGGGGACAGGAAACCCTCCAGGCTGTCACAGAAGTCCATGAACCAGGGATGGAAGTGGTCAACCAAGGAGTTAGAAGCCTCCAAGCTGGGGAAAGGGTGGTGCTTCAGTGGTCCCACCCCACTTTGCAGCCTCCCAAACCCCAAGGAAGCAGGACTCTAGATTAACAGGCCAATCCAGCCACCCACAGGGCTACGTCACAGCGGTCATTTTAGGTCCTCTGATACCACCTGGTGGCCAATGCTTATATTGCACCCCTAAGTCATAGGCCAAAATTGGGCTTTTTTTGCCTGGGGACAGCTTGGAAGGGGAGGTGTGGTCTAGGCACTTACTGTATCTGCTTGCCTAAAAGTCGTATACAGTGGTGGCTGGAAGGAGTCAGTGCGTGGGGCACAGAACTTGAGTGAGCAGTCCTCTGCCTCCATTTCCTCTTCACCCCCTTCCTCCTCACTGGACAACCTCTTCCTCCAGAACAAACTGAAGGCAGGTGGAGGCCCTAAGGTGAGGACGGCCAGGACTCCAAGCCTGCAGCCACACCTGCAGCCCCAAATAAAACAGGAAGCAGGAGGGCCAAGAAGGGGCGTGTTCCTCCATGGGCCCAGCCAGACTGAGGAGGGCACGCCCCTAGCCACCACCCCCCTTGCCTCAGACCTTGGCCATGGCCGATTCCTGGAGCTGCTTGTATAAATTGAGGAGGTGGATCCAGGGAGTGGCCCCTGCCTGGGAAGAGGCACAGCTGAGGTCTCCTGTGGATGGGGTGGTGGTCAGTGACGGGCTAGCAGCCAGGGTAGGGGTTCCCAGACTCAGAGAGCAGGGATGGGGGAGAGGGTGCTACTCGGTGTTGGGAATTGACTTCAGGGCTTCATGCTTGCTAGGCAAGCACTAGAGCTCCTGAGCAGCACCCCCAGCCCTTTTGCTTTTGTTTTGTTTTCCTAGTAGGATCTCACGCTTTTGCCTGGGCTGGCTTCTGACCATGGTCCTCCTACTTCTGCCTTCCCAGTGGCTGGAATTACAGGTATATACCAACCATACCCTGTATTCTTTACTGCATGCTTGCTATGTGCAGGCCCGGTTCTAGGTACTGGACAGGGAGAATCTCAGTTAATCCTTTCAACTACCCTCAGAGATAGGCGTTATTTTATTCCCCTTTGTCTACATGAGGAAACTCCAGTGGTTGAACAACTAGCCACTGTCACACAGCTTGGCATGTGGTGGAGGTAGAATTTGAACCCCGGCAATCTCAGATTGTGTTCTATGTCTTGCACCTGTAGGAAGTCCTAGAGGAGAAGGGTCCATTTCTGGCTCTCTATCCCTTGCCTGAGGCCACCGTACTCACCATCAAGCTGGTGTTTCTCTTCCTCCTCTTCTTCTTCCTCCTCCTCCTCCTTGGTGAAGACCTCAGGGATGACAGCCAGTGGCCCCATGGTCCTCTGCAGACATTCTTGCTCTACCTCCAGGAACTGAGCAAAATGGCCCCTAATTGAAAAGCACAGTCAGGTGGGGAAGGCAGATGGAACCCAGAGACGTGGCACAACACACCTCCTCAGGCTCTCCCACAGACCTTGTCCCCTCCATCTCCCACTCCCCTGTCGAGGAGAGGCTTCCTCCATGGAAGTCTGTGATGAGGGAGCAGACAGAGGTGGTTCTCCTCCTCACAGGATGCCTGCTAGGCCCAGTCGGAGTGGGCAGACAGTGGGTAGTGGAAGTAATGGAACGGAGCCCACTCTGGCGCACTCTTACCCACTTTGCAGTGCTGGTTTGGAACCTGGGGCCTGTAGCATGCTAGGCAAGACCTCTACCACTGAGCTACATTCTCAGCCTCCCACTTTTATCTTCAGTGCCCCCTCCTCGGCCCTGCTCTTGTGGAAGAAACCCCATCCATGTCCTCACTGCAGACCCCTCTTTACTCCTGATGTCTCCATTCCTTGGCCTCACCCCCATATCACTGCTGTCAGCTCCCAGGTGCCTCTGTTCCAGCCCTCTGTCTGTCCACAGACTCACAATCACAGACACAACCCAGTGTGGGTCCCCTGTCTCAGGAGCCATATCCTTCCTCCATCCCACATCAGGCCTCTTCCCAGTACTCCACCCCAGAGCCCTGTCCCACCCAGGTCCTTCCTCCTACCACTATCCACAGCCCCAGCCCCTCATCTGTCTGAGGTCCTGGAGGCCCCAGAGGCTTCACCTGCTAACTCCTTCTCCTCGTTTCCCTCCTCCTCCTTTTCAGAGACGTGGCCCAGCCCTTCCAGGCTTCCTCTGGGCAGGACTGAGATCATCCTGGACTCAAGACCTCCTTGGGGTTGAGGATCTGAGCCCCCCTGTTCCCCATGCCCAGCCTCAAGGCATCCTGGAGTGGCAGCTGTGAGGAGCCTCTGGGTGGGGCCACAGAAAGAGCACAGGGCAACATGGCAAGTGGCTCTCTCTTCCCTGGAGGTCCATCGGGGAGCCAGCATCCTGCCTGGGTCAGGCTGGCTCCCTGACAGTTCCTTGTCAGAGCGCTTTGGACTGCCCTTGCTCTCCAACACACTACCAAAGCAGAACACAGATGAGCAGCCCAAAATTGGTGACTGTGACCAAGGGATTGGAGCTGGGGCCTCCATCTGAGAAGGGACCCTGACTCAGAGGTTATAGCAGTCAGCCCTGGGCCAATTGCTTAAGAACAGAAGTTTTCAAATTAAAACCTCCAGTTGGAAACTTCCAGGGGTTCTAGAAGGCAAAGGTGACGTGGGGATGGGGGACACGGTACGGGGAGAGTTACTGGAAGCAGAGAGGGCAGGGGGGTTGAGGAAGCAGAGGAGGAGGCGCAGGGAGCCAGGTTGGGCTAGGCTCCAAGCTGATGAGGTTCAGGAGGCTTTGGGGGGTTGGAGGCAAAAACTTGGAAAAGAGGGTGTTGTTAGAGCCCCAGAAGGCCTGACTGGAAACGGACCCTGGGAATGGGGCAGGGGCTGTGGGAGACCCTGCACACACTCCTATCCTTCGGGAGTTTATTCTGTAATGGTGACCATTTCCCCACAGTCAGACAATATCATCCTCCCTCTTTCTCTCTCAGCATCCGGACTGCACGTGTCTGGGTGGTGGCACCCAGTAAGCTCTACTTACCTGCCTAGCACTTTCAGGACATGGGACCCCCAGAAAACACCAAGGTGCCTGAATCACAAGTTGAACCCCAATTTAGTAGTACTATTGCTCCCCACAGCACCTACAGATCTGATTATGGACCCAGCCCAGTGACTTTGGGACAGTTCCTTAATCAGAGGAGCTGCAGCTTGCTCATCTATAAAGTGGGATTCATCTACCACACATCCTTCCAAGGGTTGTTGAGAGGATCCAATGGGACCATGGTTGCTAAAATGCACAGCAGGGGAGGCAGGGTTTAATAACCCCACCATCGTATTGCCTGATGAAAGAGGGGGAAGATCAAGGATGAGAACTGGGAATCGAGGATGGGAAAGGCAATGAGCAGAAAACCTGTCCACCTGGCTGGGACGGGGTGGGTGTGGGAGGGTGGGGAGGGATGGCTCCCTGGGCCTTGGCTGGCCCAGACCTCCCTCCAGGCAACACAGCCTGCGCATCCGCATCCGGCGGCCACCAAGCAACTTCCTCTAGAGGGAGCTGATTGCTGCCGCTCGCAGCCGGCACCTCTATGATCCCTGGACTTGCACAGGTCCCTGGGCCCGGCAGGGCACAAGTAAAAGCTGCATCCAGACACAAGGAGTTCACTGGCGCCCGTTCCTGGAAGCCGGGCCTGAGACTGGGAGAAGCTACCAGCTCCTCAGAATCTTCAGCCTCAACCCTACTGAGACATCCCGGGTCCGGGTTGGAGTCTAGTCTGGGCAGGTAAACTGGCAGAGTCCGCCCCATCTTCCCTAATCCTGGCAGCCCCAGCCCCAGGGTGGGGCAGAGAGCCCACCGGGAGCCCGGAGGGAAGGGGAAGCTATGAGGTTTGCCTAGGCAAGCCTGCCATGCCCTGCCGGAGGCCTGATCACAACAGGGTTACCTCCAGCTGCCCCCTAAGTCAGCTTCGCCTCTTCCTCCAGCTCTGGATGGTCCTGGATGACAGAGAAATGGGACTTTTAGCAACCTGGGGGGATGGGAGTGGAGGTCAGAGCCAAGGTCAAGGGCAGGGACAGAACTTTCACCATGCTTCCTGTTGCCCCAAGACCCCTAGACCAACTCTAGGTCCTGGCCAGGCATATCTCTCTAGGAAATATCCATCCTGGGCCCAGCAAGCTGATGAGGTAGGGGTGGAATGGGAAGTTAGGCCACTTGGGTGGGGGCAGGGGTAGACTCAGATCAGCATAGGCAGCTGGCTTTGAGGACTGGTCCAAGGTGAGTTCCTGGGGTGGTGTTAGAGGGAGGTGGGGATGCGTCAATGTTCTCTGATCCTTCTGGCCTGGGGGTACCGGAGTTTGGAGACAGGGGAGAGGGAAGGGCATCTTCGTGCAAAAGGAGCTGATAGGTGATCTGGGGGGTTGGGGGAGGTGTAACCAGGCAAAGGTCTGTTAAATGAGGCCTGGCTCCCAGAGGAGGGTCTGCCTTCAGACCTGTCCCTGTCCCTAAGACAGCGGCAGGGGGTGGGAGGGTGGGGAACTGAGCGCACAGATGGGCCAGCCCTACCTCACTCAGTCTAGGAGAACACTGCTGACTTTCAAAAGTGATCCCCAGCCTGAGAGGAAGGAAGGTGGAGCAGGCCTCAGATAGGTAGGGGGTGGCTCTATGTAGCCTAGGATAGAAGTACCCCTCCTCAAGGACGGAAGGCGGGAACTTCCTGCCAGACTGATGGAGGCAGCTTGGGAATTAAAAATGGGGCTGCAAGGGGCAAACTGAAAGTGAAACAGCTTCTATCAGGAAATACTCCCTCTGTTGAGATCGGCAGGGGCCAGGCCTGGGGAAAGAGGAAAACGGCTTGAGCGGGGCATGGTAGCCCCATGCCTGTGCCTACGCTTAGGCACGCCTATAATCCCATTACTTGGGTAGTTCAAGGCCAGTCTGAGCTACATATGAGAACGAGTCGAGAGAGAAGAGAGAGAGAAATAAGAAAGGAAGGAAGGAAGGAAAGAAAGGAGAGAGAGAGAAAGAAAGAAGGAAAGAAAGAACAGGCTTGGAACAGTCGAGCAGGTATGCAGTGGGAATGCGTGGTGTGACACAGGTTGGAGGGCTATGAAGAAAGTCCTCGCTCCCGAGGACCCCCTCTGTACACTGCAAGGCAGGGTGCACACAGACAGCAGCTCTGGGAAAAGGCCACCCTCTTAGGTCCTCACACTAGAAAATAAAACGAGAATGAGTGCTGGGTATACCAGACAACCAACTTGACTTTCCCTGACTCTGTGGCCTCAGGCACTAACCTCTGGTGTGCTGCTCTTCTCACCTGTAAAATGGGTGTGATGATGTTTACTCACCGGGGTAAACACCCAGAGCACTTCTGAGTGGTAGCACTTAGAAGAGAGTCTTAGGCTCTCAAGAAGTGTTTGTGGCTAACAGGCCCATGTTGGAAAACAGGTGTGCTTCGGCCGGCGAGGGGAAGTGGGCCTTGGAGGAGGGCCTCCATGGGTCATTGGCTGGGAGGTGGTGAGCTTGTGGTAGCGTGTGTATACAGAAGGTCCCAGGAGCAGCTGAAAGAACCGCCAGCCTCTGAAACCAGCCTTACTGCCAGGGGTGACTGAAAAGGGACATGAAGGCTGTGACCACAGCCTCCAGCTGCAGTCAAGGCCTCCAGGTCATTGAGGGGATTAGAGGGAGGCTAAAAGTCTGCCCCTGGCTGCTTCAGTACTCAGACCCCATCTCCCTTGAAGGGTTGCCAGGGAGGCACTCATGAGTTCCCATTCCTCTTAGCAGACACCTCTGGGCCCCAAAGTGGTAGAACAAGAAAACAAAGTTTCAAAAGATTATAAGGGTTTTCTAGGAGTGGGCCACCCACCCTATCTGACAGACTTTTAAGGTCGCTGGTCAGAGGAACCTGCCTGTCCCCCATCTCTACTTTTTCTCACTCATCCCCACAGGCTGACACTGTTGGCCACTGAGACCTGAAAGATGGCATCTGGACAAGGCCCAGGTCCTCCCAAGGAGGGATTGGAAGAGCCTTCCTCAGACTCCACTTCTGGTAAGGTCTTCCTACCCCTCGCCTATCCCATAACCACTTGGGTTGTCCACGAGACCAACTTGGGCAGGGCCAAGTAGTTAGGGGCAGGCCCCTGCCTCACTTCAGCCCTGGGATAAAGGAGAAAAGTGTCTTCTAACCCAAGACTGGTGGCCTGTTGGACTCAGAGGCAGGAACTGCATTCAAATCTGAGCTTGAGTGGGGAGGAGTGGCCCAGGTAGGGCCTGGAGGTGGGGAGAAGCCAGGGAGCCAGCATAAAAACAGGCACAGTGCCAATCCAGGGCAGAGGGGTGGGGGTAGAGGTGAGGGAAGAAGCAGGCGAATGGGCCTGGCTACTGTATCCCTGCAGGAGAAATAAGGAAGTGAACTGGCTTATCACTAAGTTAGGTCTACTGAACAGAGAACTCAATTGTTGAGACTTGGGGTAGGAAGTAAAGATGGCTGCCCTCCTTCCCTCTTCCAAATGGATAGCCAGGGAGGTCCACACTCACAACCCACTTCAGGCTGTTCTCTGGACTAGGGGTTCAGGTCTTAGGTCTGTGACTATCTCCTTGTGTCACTTTTATAGGCCCAGGGTCACAGTTTCAATTTTGTTTCCCACATTCCCTAAATACTAAGGACTGGGTACTTTGTACACATTCAAACAGATCTGGAGCCAATATGCCTGGATCACAGCTTGACGCAGGTGCCTATTCCAGCTGTGTGAACACGTGCACGTCACTTGGTTGCCCTGGGCCATAGTTTCCCCATGTCTACACTGGAGCTCACCAGCTTCAGAGGGTTATTGGGAAGATTGAGTGAACTGTCCAACACCCAGGGGTGAGCACTAGGTGTCCACTAAGGGGCTGGAGTAAGGACTTTTCTGTTCACTGGTGAGGACAGCTATAGCCTTGAGGACACTTGAGCCTACTCACAAAGGACCAGCTGCTGGGGTCCAGCCTTCCCTTGTTGACTCCCAGCTTTGACCCCTCAGAGCAGCAGGTAGTCCAGGACACGGAGGAGGTTTTCCGCAGCTACGTTTTTTACCGCCACCAGCAGGAACAGGAGGCTCAGGGGGCAGCTGCTCCTGCTGACCCAGAGTTGGTGTCCTTGCCACAAGAACCTAACAGGTAATCTCCAGCCCCTGGTGCCCACAAAGACTTCTCTGGGGGAACAGAGGCTCACATGGGATCTCTGTGCAGGTCCTGGGAACTGGAGAGGTCCTGGGTGGGGGTATAAGGATGGAGGGGGGTGGAATCCTGTCTTTCCTTTTCATTTTGGGTTCCCACTTCCCTCTAAGATCACAGACTCTTTTTTGCATACATCTGCCCCTTGTCCCAGGGCCCAGACCACATGTCTGTGAACGAACACTGTCAAGGCCCTCCAAGGAGGAGTGCCTAAGGCCAGGGCCCTCGGGCAGAACCCCTCTATCGTGAGTCCAGGCCCCATTCCTGACTGATCACCCACCACCTCCTCTCCTGCAGCACCATGGGGCAGGTGGGCCGGCGGCTTGCCATCATTGGGGATGATATTAACCGGCGCTATGACACCGAGTTCCAGACCATGCTGCAGCAGCTACGGCCCACAGCTGAGAATGCCTCTGAGCTCTTCACCAAGATTGCCTCCAGGTGCACAGCCTGGCCTCTCTGTCCACTGTCCCGTCACCACCCATGCATGCAATGGGCTCCCTGGAGTGGGCACACTTCTCTGGCAGTGTCAGGGGGCAGTGTGTTAACTCACATGTGGTCTCTGAGTCCTCTACTGTGCATAAACTCATGACTGTTAGGAGCTCTGGTACTGAGGACTTGACTGGTTAGATCAGGACACTAGAGGGGCTCTGGGGTGGGAACCTAGAGCTCTCCAGGTAAAGTTGCTAACCTCCACCAGGTCAGTTATACTCTGGCATCTAAGAGACACCTGGCATAGTGGACAACAAGACATCTGGTTCAAATCAGCTTTGCCACCAACTGCCGCCCTTGTTCCTTCCTTAGCCCTTGTTCTCCTTGCTGTGAAATAAGGAAAAGATATTTAGAACACTATCCGTGCTTTAAATCGTTAGCTGTTGCTTCCATCAGAGCTGAGAAATTGTCTCAGGATAGATTTGAAGGGGGAGGTGCAGTAGGAGGAGGTGATGGGTTTAGAATGAGTACTCAGAGCTGAAAGGCCCAGTCGATGTCCTTAGCCAGTCTACCATGTCCCCGTGCCACTGTGATTCTGGGACCTGTCCTAATCTCTTCTGTCCTTTTCTCTCTGCTGCCCCTCGGGCTGTCAGGCCAGCAGCAACGCCCACAGGTAATCTCCCTGCTGCCTCTGTCCACTCACTCTACCCTCTTCCCTCTCTGTGCCCCTTTGTGCCTGCAGCCTTGGGGACCACACACCAACAGCAGCTTCCAGCTCATGCCCTCTGAGCTTACTCCTTTTACTAGACCCAGGCTCTTCCCAAATTGAGGCTGGGCAAAGGTGGCCTCTGAAGCCTGGATTCACAGCTAAGCCACTTAGCTTCCCAGCTGGAAGAGGGATGGGGGAGATTTGAGGGGGTGGGAATGGGATGGCAGGCTTAAGGGCTCCCTTGGACTCTCCACTAACTATGGGATGCTTGCCCACAGTCTGTTTGACAGTGGCATCAGCTGGGGCCGTGTGGTGGCTCTCTTGAGCTTTGGCTATCGCCTGGCTGTGCATGTCTACCAGCGTGGCCTGACTGGCTTCTTGGGTCAGGTGACCTATTTTGTGATTGACGTCATGCTGCGGCACTACATTACCCGGTGGATCGCACAGAGAGGAGGTTGGGTGAGTGCCCAAGAATTGCAACATCTACCCTGCTGCTGGGACTGCCCTAGTCCCCAGGGTACCAGCCACTCTTTTGACCACCTTGTCTTTCCTGGCAGGTGGCAGCCCTGGAATTGGGCAACGGCCCCATCCGGAATGTGGTGATAGTTCTGGCTGTGGTTCTGTTGGGCCAGTTTGTGGTACGAAGATTCTTCAAGTCATGACTCCTAGGAGGGGCCCTTTGGGGCCCCATTGGAGACCCCCACCTTGGGCTTCAGCCAAAACATCCCACCCCCCTTTTCCCTGCAGTGCTCTTCTTCTTCCCATCCTCCTCCCCTCTTCCCCCTGCTGCCCTAGGATTACAGAGCTTTAGCAAACAGTCACTCCAGTTTGGGAGGGCCCCTGCCCCAGGCTCATCCAGGCTGCACAGAGGCCCCAACATTGCATGGTGCTAATGGGCCCCCTCTCTAGGCCCCATCCTGTCAGAGGGGGGCTGTAGTCTCCTCCCTGAGCTTTCTGGGACCCCCTTAACTCAGTCTGCTGGGTACTGGGGAAACTAATATCTTGGGGAGGCAAGAGCTGGGGACCTCATCTTCCCAGGAAGGTTTTAATTGTTTTAGCTTTTTATAATACCCTTGGGAGATGCCCCCCTCCCTTTCCCACCACTCTGCCCAAAGTCAGCACATCAAGGACGTGGGGCTCAGGGGGTTGACCTTATATTCCCCAGGACTCAACTATTCGGGAAAGTCAGAGCCTGAGAGGTGGGACTGGAGCCCAGTCCTGGCCCTACCTAAACATGGCTCCTTGAAGCAGGCCTGGCTGGAGTAGAGGGCTAAAGTCCTGCTCAGATCTCCCCCTTCTCTCACTCCGCCACCCCATATTGCCTTTGTGGTTGTATTCTCAGGGATTCTGGGCCTGGATGGGGGTAGGGGTGGCAGTACAGACCAGAGCTGTCTGAACGAATTCATAAGGACCTCCAAGCCTATCCCCACCACACACATCCTCTCAGTTCTCACCCTTCCTTCACCTAATACCCACTACTCCCAACTCAGTCACTGTAGGTGAAGCCCCTGGGTGAGCAGGCTGGCTGAGACCCCTCCACGTGGATTGCAGGGCCTTGGACTTGATTTGTCATTGCAGAGGAAAGGAGTAAGGGGCTCACCTGAAGGTGTCTGAGAGGGAGAGGGGCTATACCACCAAGAAAGATCCCAAAGTTGGGACTCTTCCCCCATGGCCTGGGCACAGTGTAATTCCAGAGAACTGTGAATACTTGAACTCCACTCCACCCCCCCACCCCACCTTTCATGCTCCTGCCTGCCTAGGCCCTCCAGGGAGTGGGGTGGGGCACCTTCTCTATCTTGCACAGCCTAGGGGGTTGGGAGTATGGAGAGGGAAGTTCTTAATTAAGCCAGATGCTGGGAGGGGATGCAGATGGAGGTTGCAGGCCACCCACACCTCCATCCTCTGTGTTTGGAAATAAACTGCAATCCCTCCCACCCTGGCCTGGTGTTTTTTGTGCCCTCTACCTCTCTCCTTCAGGCTGGACTCCAGGAAGCTGAGCAATACTGGCATGTGCCTAGTACTGCATAAGATGTACTACCGGGCCTCCAGAAGCCTGATCATGGTTCCCTAGTGGGCTCGAAGACCAAAAGAATCCCCCAGCCATCCCTTTGTGACATCCTTACCAATTCTCTAGTCCTGTAGCAGGGACTTAATAGTGCTCTCCATGGGGCATGGGATACTGACTCACTCATCTGTCTCTTAGGTTCCCAGACCCAACAGTCCCTTATGCATGCACTTTTCTCATTTCTTTGGGTTCCACCAGTTTGCCACCTCCTTGGGAAGTCAGGGGCCCCTCAACAGCAGAGCTGGCAGAGCAACAGCACAAGTCTTAGGACCCCCACAGGCCAACTCAGGCCTGCCCTTCATTCACCTCCCTCCCTTAAGGCCACCACCCACATTGGCCCAAAAGGCTCTTCTCCCCAGTGTTTAGTTCTGCCTGGGACACAATGTCCCAGCTCCCCCTTCCTGATGTCTCCACAGCCACACACACCACACAGGGCTTTTTTGATTCTAGGAGTTTGATGCTGCACGGGAGTCCCTATGGGGAGGCAGACGGGGGTGATAAAAATAACAAGAAACAGGGCGTTGAAATGTTCCAAAATCTACAAAGTCTTTCCAGTCCTGGGCTCTGTGGTCTTTGTTTCTGACACTTCCAAAACTCACACGTTGGTCCAAGAAGACTCTTGAGCATCACTCCCCTGGGGCTGGCCTGCCAACCCCTTACCCTGCATATTGTCTTCAAAGAGTGCACACAGGTGCTCTGGTAGCTAAAGGATAAGGCAGAGCCGTAGTGACTGGAAGGGTGGTTGCTACAAGGTACCCCTGCGATATACAGAAAAAGCTCAGATGATCTATGTGCAGACTTTATGCTGAGAATTTATTATCGATACCCAAACAGTAGGTTTGGAGATAGGGTGCGTGCATGTGTTCTCAAACTCCCATTTTACAGATAATAAAGACAGGTGCCTTCCTGAGTCACCCAGGTAGGAAAAAGCAGGGAACTAGAATACTGGTACAAAGTTTTATCTGGAGGCGGAGATGGGGAGCAGCGGGGAGATGTCGGTCTTACGAGCACGACAGCACCGGCCCGCCACGGATTTAGGCGCATGGAGTGCTAGTACATCGCCTCTCTTCTAGGCTGCCTGCAGAAGCGAAAAGTTGGAGATCCAGCATTGGAAAGCGGGAAGTGGGCGGGCTGCCCGAGCCCAAGATGGCTGCCGTCGCTTCGAGCACGCCAGCGTGCCCTGTAGTGGGCGGGGCCCCGGGGCACGCCTTCTTCCCCTCCCCCTTTTGGTTTTGCAGATGGCTGCAGCTTGAGGCGTTGAGGGAAGAGCAGATAATTAGCGGCCGGAAGAAAGGTGGGTGGGAAGGGGCAGAGGCCGTGACTTCTCTTCCTCTAAAAAAGAAACCGAACGTATCCAAAGGTATGGGGAACCCCCAAAAGGTCTTGGCCTTTGCCTAGTCTGACTTCCCTTCCAAATCTGCTATTCTGTTACCACGACGGAGTTCCCAAAACCTAAATCCAAATGCATTCGGAGTTGCCAAAACCAGGGGATGAGAAGTTAGGGCAGACAGAATAAGCCCGGGACTGTAAGGATAAAGGGAAGCAGATGGGCTCTGCAGGTGCTAAGGCAGTTATAGCAAGAACACCTTCCATTCCTCAGAATATTCGGTTCCTCTGAAACTGTGGCTTCTTTCCAACAAGAGGTCTGTATTCCACAGTCTTGGTGTCCCTGGGCTCTGGCGATTCCGGGAGGGAGCAGTGTTAGCTGTCATTTGCGAGGTCCTGCAGTTTTAGTGTAAATCTACCCCTGCCTGCAGTCTTCATGTATTTATTTTACATGTTTTGCTCAGAAGAAAGTATATTTTGGGTCACTGGATGACCATCTAAACCCTTTAATTTGATTTTGTGGGTTTTTTTTTTTTCCACTACTGGAGTTTGAACTCAGAGCTTAGCGCCTGCCTAGCAAGCGCTCCATGTTTGAACCAAGCCTCCAGCCCTAAGCCCTTTAATTTGAAAAACATCCATCCTTGTTCCAAAAACCACTCAGTAAATTGTCTGAACAAGCTTTTATGACCTAGTCATCTGAATAGCATTAAAATAAATTAAAATGAATTCATTAGCTAATTAAAATTAATGAAAACAACATATCCTGCAACAGTTGTACACACTTCAGATGTAGAGGCCCCGATCCCAGAAGCTTGTAAAATGCAGCTTTAATTCAACCTGGTCAGAACAAATACTCCTAATCCAAGGTGTGAGCGCATGTGCATGAACACATATGTGTATGTATGAATGTAGTTACTAGAGATTACTGGAAGTGTTCAAAGTCAGGGACCAAAAAAATCAGCAAAAGCCAGCTTCAGCCAGGCATTGTGGTGTATATCTATAATCCCAGCGCTCAGGAGTCTGGGACAGGAGGCCCTTCAATTGGAGGCCAGTTTGGGCTACATAGGGAGACCCTGTCTGAAACAAAACAAAGCAGTTTCTCCCAGGTATGAGTTCACTAATCGCTGGACATGTTAAAAACGAACTTGAGGGGTTTAAGAGGAATGGTGGGGCCAATCTAACCAATGTACAATGTAAGACTATTGGGAAATGATACAATGAATCCCCCCTGTACAATGAATGTATGCTAATAAAAATGAAAACAAATCAATATAACCTTAAGACCATTAAGAAAAAAAAGGCTTCTAGAATATAAAACTAAAATGGGGGTTAGGGAGGAGGGGAGCCTTCAGCCCACCAGGTCTGAAGTCTGAGTCTACCACTGAGCTACTCTGCAGGTTCCAGATTTTAGTAACGGCCCCTCTTCAGGTCCCTCCCAGACCAAATCATCCCCACCACACCACCACCACCAAATGGGTTTTGCAAGCACAGTCTTCATCCCCACTTAAAATCTATGAGATTCAGCTAAGCATAGTAGTCAAGCCTGAAACCTAAGCACTGGGGAGTCTGAGACAAGAGGATCTTCAGTTCAAGGCCAGCCTGGGTACATAGGGAGATCCTTGAGCTCTTACATTCATCCCATTCACCTGCTCTTTCTTGGTTCCTTGTGATGACCCAAATGAGAAGTGCTGTGTGCTCTGGAACAGAAAATTAAAACAATGTTTTTTTTTTTTTTTGTGGTACTGGGGCTTGAACTCAGGGCCTTCACTTTGAGCCACTCCGCCAACCCTTTTTGTGTTAGGTATTTTCAAGATAGGGTCTGGCGAACTATTTGCCTGGGCTGGCTTTGAACCTCCATCCTCCTGATCTCTGGCTTCTGAGTAGCTAGGATTACAGGCGTGAGCCACCAGCACCAGCTTAAACCAATGATTTTTAACAAATTTCTGTAAACTAAAAAAAAGAAAGGGGGAAGGGGAGGAAAAAGAAGAAGAAGTGTCTTGTCACCTATGATTTGAGAGCAAGAACTCAAAGTTTGAGAAATATGTTCACCTGTCCAAAACTCAAAGAATAGAATCAGAGACACATGGAGTATAGTGAAAGTGAGACTTTAATGGCGATCTGGCAAGATCAGGTCCTGAAGAACAGAGACACAAGAGGTTAAAGCAAGCATTATATTGTCTAGTGTGCAGGTCTCTCCCCCAGTTCCTGCCTGAGTACTATGGGGTGTATATTCTCCTCTGCCCATGTCACCTAGATTTCCTACGGGATTATTTAAAATGTCTCTCTTGGGATTGGTCAAATTTTAGAAGCGGGCTTTAGGTGGTATCACCTTCTATGTGGTGGGAAGGTTATCCATTTCCTCATAATTTACCCTCCCAGTTTAAGTTTCCTTAGCAGCTGGCCCTCCCCCAACCTCCCCCAAATTGATAGAAAGCAAGAGGCCAGAGTTAAATGCCTTGCCTTGAAAATGGACCACTACTGATTATTTCTAACAAGAGTGTCTCTGTTGCTGGTCACTGGTGACTCAAGCATTTAATCCTAGCTGCCCAGTAGGCAGAGGTCAGGAAGATTGGGGAAATAGTTAATGAGACCATATCTCGAAAAAACCCATCACAAAAAATGGCTGGTGGAGTGCCTTAAGGTGTAGGCCCTGAGTTCAAACCCCAGTACTGAAAAAAAAAAAAAAGTGTTGTAGTTTGTTTGTCAATACTACTAATACAATAATAGACCCTCATTATAATTTTCAAAACCATTTTTGTTTTTTGATTTTGTCTTTTGGAGACAGGGTGTCACTATGTAGCCCAGGCTAGCCAGGATCTTTTATTTTTAGTGTTGTTAAATAAAAAAATACAAGAAATTATTGTTCTGAAGTAGGTTGTTGCATTAGGTCCCAACAGATCAGACTAAAAATCAAAATGGAGTCACTCATGCTGAGGATCCACATCACCAAACTGAAACAAAATTGTTATTTGACCTTCCTAGAAATCAGAAGAGAGAGATAACAGCCATGTTTCCTAAACAGATCAGTTTCAACTAGCCAAACAGTTAAGTTCCCTATGCTGTAAACACTCTTGAATCCTCTAATCCTTCCAAAAACTAACATGATGTTCACCACTCACTTTTCTATTGGCTTGTCTCCCAGTCCCCACCCTACAAGGAAAGTAAGTTTGAAGTGACCAATCCTCTTCTCCTTCTCTGTTTCTGCTTTTTTGTTTGGCACTGGGGTTAGAACTCAGGGCCTCACGCTTGCTACTTGGGTGCTCTACCACTTGAACCACTCCACCAGTACTTTTCTGTCAATAAAACCAGCCTCTTCTGCTCTGCCCATCAGAACATTTAATCTACTTTTTTTTTTTTTTTCTTTTTTGAGACAGGGTCTCTCACTATGTAGCCCAGGCTTGCCAGGAACTCACAACCCTTCTGCCTCAGCTTCCCAAGTGCTGGGATTACATGAGTATGCCACTATACCCTGTGACTGTTTCTTAATGCGTCTATAATATTTAAGGGAATTTGACATTTGAATTGAAGAATCTAACACATGAATCTTGTGATTTTGA